CTATGTATTTAAAAATATTAGTGGGGTTGTATATGCACACATTAAGCTCAGATAATTGTGATCTTGAGTTGTTTATTTAATCATTCGTCACTGAAGTATAAATGCATCACTAAAACCCCAAATTTTATGTAAAATTCCTGTCAATGATGAGTGTATGTAAACATCAGACTGAAAGTCTGTGGGGTAGAGTACACACACCCTGTGTCATTCATGCAAAGAATGACACAGAAAATAATTCTCTGGATTGGATTCAGCTATAGATAATTGAAAAAGCCCAATTGCCTACCAAACATCTGATAATTCAACTTTAACTGAAGAGCAAGAATGAAAAGAGAGAATTTCTATTGAGGGCATCATCAAAGTTTCAGGGAACAGTGCAACAGGAACATTGCATAAGTAATATAATGTCAAAAATAACAATCATGAGAAAGCTGGACTTGACCGAAGAGACACAAAACCCAGTTTGTGATTGGAGTTCTGGCTGTGGTGGGTTCACATTTTCTTTGTGCGACTCCTTGAGTGTGTGTGGGACTAAATTTATTCAAGCTCTAGGGTATGTATTTATTGGCTTGGTTTAGTGTCACACAGTGACGGACAGGTCTGTCCTGCCGCTGAATGTAATAAGGTTTCTGCAGCGCTCGTGCGCCTGCACATTTTTCTGAATTATGACGTCCCCACCTTGGAGTTTTTGAGCACCGACTGCACTCCACCTATACCTTATATATCATGGGACGTAGCAATCACAGGTAAAGGAGCATTGCAGCCAACAGCGCTGCAGTACGAATCTGAAGACTGACAGCCATAGGGGAACGTGTCCATATGGAAACATTTTTTCACACCATGGGCTTGTTGGACGTCTGAGCAGAATTGCTACAAATCCTTAACGTCCCAGGAATCCAGGGTGGAATAGCATGAGATCCTGTATTTGTGTGTAGTTTTATGCAAGCTGTCAGCAGCAGAGAGAGTGAGAGGTGGGGACTGCAGTATTCCTCCAGCGGGAAGCATTGATTTTCTTGCCTAGCATGGGGATGTGGGAAATGTCAGCCTCTAATTGAGTTGATAAAACCGTTTTGAGTCTCAGACGTAAATATGCCCTCCCACACCCCCGCACATAAACACACACGCAAAATGCCATTGCATTACACAACTCCACTTGGGATGGCCATAAGAAATGAAAGGTCTCCTTATTTGTGTGTGCATTAACATGTGCCTACCTTCAGTGCATGCCGAGTTGTTTTGTTGGACTATACACCTCTTCCGGTGGAAGCAAATGCCTGACTTGTTTGTCAGTGAATGAAATGTTTTCTTCAGTTTTGAATTAGCAGGGAAGCTTCTTTGGATAAACAGGTTTGCTTGCCACTGAGAGCAAAAATGAAGATTAGTAAACGTGACGCAGAGGTCATATCCATTAATGGAATAGAAAGTGAATAAAGGAAATAATGAATGAAGTCCCTGCTCCCTAGCTGCTGATTAGAAGATTGGTATGCAGCGAGAACAGAGGAATTACCTGCTGTCTTTAGAGGAAGTTCACCACAATGTCAGAAGAAATGATAGTCCTCAGTTCAGTGTCTCTATGAGGACAATCTAATTTTTCTTCTATAAGAGTAATAATTATGTGAAGAGATTTTATGATATTAAAAGGCAAGATTTATTTATTTTTGGTCACAGTTGAGTCTCTTTCGAAGCTCTGTCTTGTTGTGATGCAAGTCTAATGGGGGATGTATATCAGGAGCACCACGGTGCATCTAGTTCATTCGAGAACTTAAAACATTGCTTTAAGAACCATCTCTGTCTTTTGTAAGAGCGCAAAGACGAAACGGACCACGAGACTTCAGTCGTTCTATCAGAACCGGAGATGCCTTTGGAGCCTTTGGAGCTGGGCACTTTGGAGAGTCTGCAACCATCAAATGCCACCGGTCTGAGTTGCATAATAGAGGTGTATTTTTAGAAGTACATGTTACTCCACCAGTGTGTGATGTCCTGTAACTATTATAATTCACCGTAGATATGAAGGTGGAGCTATATCGTCATCTCTCTGCTTTATTGATGCTTGAATGCTCTTTTGAAGTCAGTAAGGAAGTAGGTTCTGAGTTGTCCTGTAGTGTTGACAGTCAATAAATTGTCTATTCAGCAGTATTTTGGGTTTCCAAAAGAAAAACAAACGCAGAGAAAATGTGAACATTTTTTTTAAATGTTGAGAGTTCCTCAACTGGTTTACCATCAACCCAAAACTGACACATCCTACGTCAGATGAGATTTGTGAAGCTTGTATTCTACTTGTAGAAAACAAACACAAAGATGAACATTTAGATTTTTCCAAAAAATATTGCTAAAATCTTGAACCTGGCCAAGTGAAACATCTTGTCTCATGGGCTAAATGATTGGAAATAATGGCTTTTCCATATTGCTGATGGTGATCACCAGCAGGACACGCGACAGCTAATCAAAACATAATTATTGAAACTGTATAAGGTGAACACATGACACATGTATGTTTGCATCTGCTTTAATGTAAGGGAGAATAATTAGTGTTTCACATTATGACACACACACACACACACACACACACACACACACACACCTGCTTTCAGTTTCTTTCACATTCTTGTGTGTGTAAGTGGACGCATCCACGCACACAAACACTTGTGGCAAAGCCGATAGTAATAACTGACATGATTAGGCAGACAACCATTCATATAGGGAATTGCACGCTCATGAAAATAGACACACACACAAACACACACATTCTATCTCTCCCTCACACACACATATTATACCTCCCTGGTAATTAACAGTATTAATTACTAGCGTAGCTGTCCCTGTGAGGCTCTGTATCACTCACAGACGGCACGCAGTGGGGTTCTTATTACTTTATCTCGCCACGGCATCGCCTCTTCTGTCTCCCTCTCCTAGTCTCTGGTTATACACGCTTTCTGATACACACCTGCTGGATAAACAAATGTTAGCTAATTAGTCGGAGAGTGATAGCTGGCTGTGGGTTAAAATCCAGTCGCTCGGGATGTGAAGGAGCCATGTTTGCATGAAAAAGAGCGGGTCATTTTCTCATTATGATGGAGTCGCGGTCTGTTTAGCCACTGCAGCCGTTTCTTATGCGTCTTGTTATGCTGTTGTAGCTAAAGTGTCACATAAGTTGTGTTTTTTTTTTATTATTTTTTATTTTTATTTGTGTTGCATCAGCTACTCTTTTCATTGCAGCAGTGCTCCAACCAAAAAATGTTGGGCAAACTCTCTTCTGCATAATTGCTGAGCTGGTGAACATCAAGCCGTAGACATCTTGCTTGAGAGACGTCGTGGTATATTCCCATTTACCGAGGTTGTTTTGTACCCCACTCAAATCTGATTTATATCCACAGCAGTTAAATGTGGCTGGCACCATTTTTTTGAGGATATTGTACAGTTAAATCCCAAGTGTCACAGCGCTTGCATGTTTGAATATTGCATGCGAGTGCATAAGCTTTCTCTGCAGAGGTAAAGATATCTTATGCTCCGAGTGTGCTGGCAAAGTTGAGATTGAAGGTGAGGGGATAAAATGTGTCTTGCACATCATTACACAGTAAAACTGCAATCCTCCCAAAGTGTCAATGCAATATATCTATGTAACATAAAGGGATTTTTATCTCAAAATGTCATGATATGACATGCTTTGAAAAGGATACATTATTTAGCTTTGCAGTTTGTTACTGAGACAGTTGTTTCAGGGAATTCATCAATAAAAAATAAACAAGAAAATAATGAATAGTTTGGGAAATGTGACGGTTGCCTCCAAACACTTTATGGCTATTTTTGGGAAGAAATTAGTAACTTCCAAGTGGCATGTATAATTGATTAACCCACAAGCCGCAGTCGAGGGTTTGGAGTTTGAGAAGGAGAGGCCTGTGTTTGATTTAAACAGCAGGGGCTACATTTCCGTCTAACAGCAGCCTGTCGCTACACTACCGTAGCAGATGGATGCAAGTGGTGAAACGTTCTGGAAACAGGCAAGAATGTATAAATGACGCAAAATCCTAAACACATAAACACAAAAACACAAATTCAATAGAAATAAACCTACAATCAACAATGCAGTCAAAAAGTGCTGCCATTTTTTTTGCTTAACTTTTGCTCAACTAAGCTTAAACATTGTTTTTAACTTTTTCTTTTATTCCGGTGTGTTTATTTTTCAACTCTGTACTTTTGCGGTGCTGAAGTCTGATCTTTTCTTAGCAAATTTGCTATGGATATTGATGACATGTAATCAACTCATAAATAACATTTACCAGTAGGAGCTCTACCTGTACCCCATCCCTCACTTTACCTTAACGCAATTCAGTTGTATTATGAAATAATATGCGATTAAATAAAATTACACAGCTAATTAAACATTTTATGCTTACTTATTATCATAATTCATCAAAAATACTCCATAGTAAATAAATCAACATCCACTATTGAACAATGATATGAACTGGTTTATTAAGGAGTAAAAGAGGGAAGTGAATATCAAGCTACAAATGGGCACAAAGGAGAACTGACTCTGTGTATGTCAGTGTTTAAATGTCCTTTTACAGAATAACAAGCAAACCAACTTGTCTTGTTCTTTTGCTGTTATTTTTAATTAAGACAAAAATGACAGAAAAGTATGTTTGAAACACATGGTGATTAATTAGCAAAACTTGCCACACTTTTAGGTAATATTGCTTCTCTAAATTTAGACTAAACATACATTTTGAAAGCCAGATTTTGTAAGGCAATTAAAGTAACCATAGCGACTTCGTCACACAGTTTTTAGACATTAATAGATATTTTTATATAATTATCTTCTACTTTTTTTTTTTTTTACTTTCACATTTTCTGTCTTTTAGATAAAGAACAATGTGGTCTTTTCTTTATTTAAACATTTTTTTGGAGTTTGGCCTCTTATTTTACTTTATTTTTTTCACATTTATAACCTGCTATTGAAAGTCTTCCATATGTTTTTTTTTTTTTATTGTCTTTTTCAGTGGACGGCTGCACAGATTGGTCAGTGGATTACAAGAAGTACCAGGTGCTTCAGGGTGAGGCAGTGCGTCTGAAGTGCGCTCTGTTCTATGGTTACATCCGGAGCAACTACAGCCAGGCCCAGAGCGGGGGCCTGAGCCTCATGTGGTACCGCAGCTCCGGCCACGGCCACACCGACTTTGAAGAGCCAATCTCTTTCGATGGAGTGCGCATGAGCAAGGAGGAGGATGCCATCTGGTTCAAACCTGCTGACCTTCAAGACGTGGGACTCTACTCATGTGTTTTACGGTAAGAGTAAGGATTTATTTTTTTTTAGATATACTGCTTTGTTTTAATTTTGATTACTTTTCCTATTTGGGCTCTTGGTTAGCATCAAGTCCATCTTCACAAGAAGCAGACTCGAGCAGGGTTAAAAACATATGCTGTAAGTTTTATACATGGGATAAAAAGTAAAAGTAAAAAGTACAATAAAATACGACAACCAGCCTCCTTCTCCAAATATCGGTGTCAATAGGAAAAGGAAAATGTTTGACTTTCATTGGAATATTTCTGTTCAGATTTAGTAAAAACAAAAAATGTCAGATGTAGATTAGCCCTCTTGGTAAACCCGGACATCTTTCTGCATTCTCCTTTCATAGTAGAATGTTTTTTTTGTTTGTTTTTTTTACATTGAAACAAAAAGTGAGATGATTTAGTAAGATATTACAAGTCAGGTCAAGTGAGCCGAAGAATTTCAAATAGCCATAATCGAAGCATAACAAATGTTTGTTTAAAAATATTTAAATTTATTTGATTTTTTTGTTGACCTTAGAAACATCATGTAAGGTGAACAGTTAAAGTGAAAGCAGAAAGGACTGCCAGTCTCAGAAGAATACCTAAAACTGTTTGCAATAACCCAATGTGTAGGATAGTTAAAAGTTGAATGGCCTGTGTAAAATGATAACCATTTTTTTTCCTTTGACATTTCACTTGCGCAAAAACTCTCAACACTGCCAGGCAAAAGAAACTTTATTCTTATGTTTTTGGCCTAGTGTATGACAGTAACCCAGTGGTAGTAACTTAGACATGTCCATTGTTAATAATAAAGTGAAATATAAATAGCAGTTTGTATGTTACAACCACAAACTTCATTTTATTTTATTGCGATTTCACGTGATACGACATAAAAGCAAATACTTTTTTGGTAGTGCCAAATGCTAAATTAATTTTTTTTTTTACAGTTTATTAAACAAATATTCAGCCTTAATCAAATGTTGGGTGTAAAACTCAGGGAATCCCATCGTTCTGTGCATGGCTGCACTTGTAAAAAGTGCCTCCAGCTCTGTGTTTCTCCATCTGCATTTGTTGAGCTAGAGGGATTTTGCTCAGATACCCTAATCAGAACACTGAGACATTTACCTCCCAGCTGAAATAAATTACTCT